ATTCAATTCTCTTTTTCTTTTTGAAGAACATTTTCTAGAATAATTCTGATAATAATCAATATTTGTTGCTTGTATTTATGAATTTACTTGGGAAAGAAAGATAATGATTTCTCAAATTTTGCGATTAAATAAAGAGAGATATGTGCCTATGATAAAAGCTTCATAGGTTACACACCATATTCTATAATAATGTCGAAACGGAATAAAAAGACTAAAAGTTGATATAAGTACTCTTTGAAATTTTATCTCAAACAAAATTCTCTTTTCAAATATTGAACAGAGTCAACTGTATGAATATGTGTCCTAACAATACTATATCGGGTTGTGCATAACCTTTTGCTAGGGGGGTAGTGCTATAATTTCAAGTATAATTGATTGCATATCATTACGAATTTTTGCAATATTTCGAGCAAATTAAAGAGCAACTAATCGATTACGACTAGTTGATAAAAATGAATTCATCGAAAGAAATTCAGTAATATTATCCTTCATCAAATTAAATTCATCATTTCCAATTATTTGTCCACGATAAACTTGTATTATATTTCGATTGTTACAAGTATGAATAAACTTTTCATATCAATTCTTTATCAACTTAACAATATCATTAATGAAAAATCGAAATGTAAATAACATATTAAAATCTTGTACACGTAATGCTTTATTCAACATTCTATGAAAGCATGAATCTTGTGTGTATTACCAGATAGCTCTTTCTGCTGTATAATTCTTTTCAAAATCATCAATAATACTCATTTCTTGTGAATTATCTTTGTAATTATTTTTACAAATATCAACAAGTTCATTACGATCAGTCGCTTTATGATTCATATGAACAAGAACTTCAATAAACTAGATGGTATTCGAGTTTCGACTCGAATACGAAATGCGGTGCGAAGCACACGTGCCGAGAATTCGAACAATGAATTTCGAATCGAAATCGAATAATCGCTCTAAGTATCAATGGAATTTGTTCTCACAATCTACGTCATGGTTCTAAGATAATCAAGGATGTTTCTCAGTAAGGGATAATCCATAAAAAAACATCTTTATCGAACAGCTGATCTCATCTAGATCTGAAATGAAACGCGTCCATTATAAAATTCATCACTTCAGAAACTCTATAAAAGCGTATCGACAGATTTCTACCTAATGTTTTCTATTGATCAATTAATTATGTCAGTGATTCATTATCTACTATCAGCTGTAATTCACAGCTGTTTGATATATGACTTAATTGTAGCACTCATAGAACACTTCATAACTATAGAACCTTTACGAATACTTAGAACCATGCTTCGAAAAGAAGAAATATGTATTCTTATAGAGGGCTCTGCTATTTTTTTTTACTACTAAAGGATCGTTTAATTATCTATATGATTCATTATCTACAATCAGCTGCGATTACAGCTGTTTGACATATGAAGGGGGACAATGGCGCCTAACTTTTCTCTTCATTTTCGTTTTAATTATCTCAAAATAAAGGAAACACAAAGTCCTCAAAAATTTGTCATTTTTGGAAGCGATTTGTGAGAAATCAGAAGTTGTTGTGGAGATGAACTCAAAAGATATTATCAGTTCGATGTCGATACTAGGATCTCGCGTTTCAACTACTACTTTCGGAGTTTTAGTTGTCGAGATCATCGCGTCACAAAATGACAAGTTTTGATGCGTACGTCAAGTAAGTATAAAAGAAACTAGATGGTATTCGAGTTTCGACTCGAATACGAAATGCGGTGCGAAGCACACGCGCCGAGAATCGGAATAACGAATTTCGAATCGAAGTCGAATAATTTTTCTACATATCATCGGAGTTAGTTCTCACAATCTACGTAAAAGGTTCTAAGATAACCAAGGATGTTTTAATCAAACATCTTTATCAAACAGCTGATCTCATCTAGATCTGAAATGAACGCGTCCATTATGAAATTCATCACTTCAGAAACTCTAAGAAAGCATATCGACCGATTTCTACAAATTGTTTTGTATTGATCAATTAATTATGTCAGTGATTCATTATCTACTATCAGCTGTATTTACAGCTGTTTGATATATGACTGAAAAAATTGGCGCCTAACTTTTTTTTTGAATTTTCGTTTTAATTATCTCTAAAGTAAACTCCGTCAATATTATGTTTTTGGAGCTTCGATTGTAGACGAACTATGGATTCTATAG